TTATCGGGGTTTCTGAGAGTAGATGGGTGGCGGGGAGGAGCAAAAGTGAGCGCAGCAGAACAAGGCAAAAGCCGATCGCAGAGAGAATAGGAGGGGGGGGGAGAAAAAGAACAATTTATTGCGAACCTGCAAGACGAGCCACACGATCCCACGCTGGGACTTGGTTGTGGCAAACAGTCCACCGATAATGAGATTCTTCTGGTGGAAAGACAGAGCTCACTGCTCAGCAGCAGTCAGGCCCCTTACCCCGTAGGTGAGTAATCTGCACCATTCAGGTGCTGCGGCCACTCGGGCCGACACACACCAGTCTCTGACCAAGAAGGATCCAGAGGGATCCAGAGAGGCTACTGGGTTATTGCCCTGGAGCGGGGACGGTAATAATGGACAGCTCCTGTGCGAGCGTGGGGTCCAGGAATCTAGCAGAACAGGTAAAGGTGATCTGCGGCAGGCAGGCGAGCTTGCGATACGCCCAGTGCTCCATATGTCGGTGATGCCATGGCTCGCTATGGCGATAGGCGCCAGGCTCTGACACGGAAAAGTATCAATGGTGGTTACATATGACAAAAGCCAATGGCTGGTGAAACATATGCGATTCCACAATGTCGCCAGATTCACAATTAGACCTGTCGCAAACCGTAGTCTGGTCCATTCTTGCCTGCAATTGTGCAGCTTCTGATGTCACTGGCCAAGGAATGCCCAAAAAGGGCCAAGGCGCTTTGGCGGATTGCAGCACATTGCAGTATCGATGTGCTTGATATGTCGCACACGCATTAATTATTCACAGGTCAGTCCGCCCCGCTCTACTCTTTCCTCGTTTTTCCACAGCTTTCGTTTTTTTTTTCTTTTTTTCGTTTCCTTTGCAATTCTATAAAGATGACGTTTGGGTCCGAGCTCAAGGTAACAAATTCAGACGGGAGGGAGCAGACGGGAGCAGCAGAGAAACAGCCAGGCTAACCACGCGCTGCATGCATTTTTGTTAGCCGAACGAGTTTGGTGCTATCAACGGATACGTCGAGAAGCAGATAGACGTGTACTCTGGGCTGTACAAGCTTCTGACAGAGAAGGCAGCGGCGGAGCGCGACTACGGCACAAAGATCCTGGACCTGGCGCGCACGTTCCAGCAGCAGCTCGAGGGCCTGCACGACAAAAAGGCCGACTCAGCAGCCAACACACTGACGCTGACGGAGGCCGAGGCAGCAGCGACCACGCCCTGGAGCTCTTGCCGGCAGCTAACGAATGGGTATTGCAGCTTGAGGAGGAGGGCCGCCTGCATATGCAGTTGGCAAGCAAGATCAGCGGCTCGGTGGCCGAGGAACTGCACCAGGCGTTTGGCAGTCTTGGCGAGGCGCGCAAGAAGAGCCTGGAGTTTTACCAGAAGCTGCTGGGCGAGCGCGACAAGATCTACGACCAGAAGGATAGGATGCGGGCGCACTACGAGAGCAAGTCAAAGCAGCTGGGCACGTCGCAGTCACGGCAGGAGCGCGCGACCAACGAGAAGGACCAGGACAAGTACCGGGTCAAGGCAGACAAGAACACCAGCGCACGCAACCAGGCCAAAAACGAGTATATTCTGCAGGTCGCAGTGGCCAATGCGGTCAAGGACGCAGTCAGCCATCAGTTCACGCCCACAGTCATGGACTCAATGCAGAACATCAACGAGCAGCGCGTGGCAGCCACCAAGCGTCTGCTGCTGCAGTTGCTGGAGATGCAGGAGGCCAGCGACGGCAAACGCATCCAGCGTACGCAGCGGGTAGCGCACGTGATGGGGAGAGTCACGCCCGAGGCCGACTCGGCCGCGTACGTGCGCAAGCGCGTGGAGGGCGGGCTCAGCAAGTGGGAGGAGCAGGCGGACTTCCGCGTGATCGTCGACTACGCCAACGGCGAGGAGGACGCCATGGCGCTGGACGGCGAGAGCCAGGTGGTCCTACGCAACATGTGCCTGCAGGCAGACCGCGACCGCCTGGCAGCCGACCAGAAGCTGCAGGGCAAGCTGGCCGAGGCCGAGAAGCTGCGGCAGAAGGGTGACAAATCCGTAGACAAGGCGGCGGAGGCCCGGCACGAGGCGACGATGCTGGAGCTGGAGATTGTCAAGCAGAGGGCGGTGCGGGCGGCGATCGAGACGGAGCTGGGCAGTGTTGACCAGGGGAATCCCACGAGTTCAAGGCGTTCACGGTGGCGATTTCCAAGACCTGCGATTACTGCGGCGAGTCTATCGGCGGACTCAACCGCAAGGCGGCCAAATGCGCGGCGTGCGGGTTCACGTGCCACGCCAAATGCCAGATCAAGGTGGCTCCCAGCTGCGAGGGCCCGGACCCGGACGCCAAGGGCGGGTTCCTGGCGCGCTTTGGCACCAAGAAGAAGAGCACGTGCGCGCAGCCTCGGCGGTGTCGGGGGCTTCCATGGACTCGGATAACAACCCCTGAGCCAGTCTCCAATTCCGCCAGTCTGAGCGCATCGCAGGCGTCGATTTCGCGCGCCTCCACGTCATACGGCGCTGCTGCCACTTTGCCACGCAAATCCACATCCCAGACGCCATACGAGAGCTCCCCACGATCAGCCTCCATTAGCCGCGGAACTCCAGTAGCTGGAGCAGCAGCCGGGGCAGCTGGTGCAGCCGGGGCAGCTGGTGCAGCTGGTGCCCTGGCAATGGCCTATGGCGGGAGGCAGGCGGAGCAGTCAGCGAACACCGTCATTCACAACGCCCAGCGATATGGTCACGGTCACATACGACTACGACGGTGACGGGTCCACCACTTTGTCGGTGCGGGCCGGCGACCGCGTGCGCGTACTGGTGCCGGACAGCGAGAGCCGCGGGTGGATCCGTGCCGACGTCCACGGGCAGATCGGCCTGGTGCCCACGGCCTACGTGAACATGGACGAGTACAGCCCGGCAATGTCGTCGCCGGTGCTGCCCCCGCGCAGCAGCTTCCAGTCGCAGCCACCGGACGAGTACGTCGTGGCAATCTATGATTTTGCCGGCCGCGATGCCGAGGAGCTATCGTTTAGCGCTGGCGACAAGATCCGCATTACGTCGCGGGATGTCGGCTCTGGATGGCTGCAGGGCACCATATATGGGCAGACCGGGCGGTTCCCCGAGAGCTACGTCAAGGACGACGAGTAGTTCTTTATAATCATTTAAAGCGAGTCATTTATTATTATTTTTGCTTCTTCAAAGCATGTTCTCGAGGTCGGGCGTGCACACCAGCTGCTCGTCGATATTGCCCAGCACAAAGGCCGAGTTTGAGCCCTTGGTGTCCAGTGCCATTAGCCCGCGGAAGAACTGGCAGTCGGCGCCCAGCGACACGTCCAGCAGGAGGTCTTGGCCAATCTTGAGCTTGACGGCGCCCGATTTGAGCACCACCAATGTGCCAACCCGGCCGTCCAGCAGGGACGAGTCCTCGGAGTCGGACTCCTCGACCGTCTCCTCTTCTGTATCGGGCTTGTCGTCGATCGGCTTGTCATCGACTGGCTTGTCTTCAACGTCAATCGGCTCGCCAGCCTCCAGCTCAGCCATACTCGGCTTCACATCCTCGGTCTTCTTTTGCTCTGCTTCCCTCTTGCGCCGACGCTCGTCCCTGCGCTCCAGCCGCTCCCTCTCCCGCCTCTCGACGACCTCCGCTGTGAGCTCAAACTCGGGCATGGCCGGCAGCTGCCACACCAGCAGCTTCTCGCCACTGAACACCTCGGCGGTATTGTTGTCGAGCTTTAATGCGCGCATCTCCTCAGCCGCCTTGAGCGCCATCTCCTCGGTCTGCACATCAAAGTCCTCGGTGATCTCCTCGTTATGGTCAGTCAGTAAAAGCACCGGGGCATTCGGGTCGCTTAGATCAGTCTGAGCCGGCTCATCGACATTGGGGTTCTCGGATTTGGGCATGCCAGGCGCCAACACCCCGCTGAACCCGCCAGCGCCGCCGCGCCTGGATGTGCTGGAAATCATGGCAGGGCCCTGGGCGAACGGACCGGAGACCGTCTGGATTAGCTCGACCCGGCCACGACCGCGCCCGCGACCGCGCTCAGCCCCGCGGGCAGGCCCGTGCGGCTTGTGTTCGCGCTTGGGCGCCGAGGCCAGGAGCGAGGGCGCCGGGGCTTCTTTTTTGTGCCGCTGGACTTGCGTCTTGGGCTTGAATACCAGGGCCGAGCCGGAGCTGCTGGACACGCTGCCCGAGGATGTCGCCCGCGTATTGCCGGTGATTGTGGGCCGGAACGAGCCAAGACGGCCGGTAGGCATGCCGCCGCGTCCACGCACTACTCCGCGGCCACGCCTTGGCGCTTCTGGTTTCTTCGGAGCATCGGGCATAGTGAAGGAAATGTAAGCTTGAATGCTGTTTCTTTGCAATTTCTTTTCCTTATTTTCTTTTGCCAGTATGCCCCAAACCATCAAGAGGAATTTATGGTTCTACATTGTGTTCAGTTGAGTACAAAGTTATACTGGTTGTCGGACTCCGAGTTGTGCACGAACCACAGCACGATGGACGCCAGAAGAACCGACACCGTCTGGATGACATTTGTGAAGCCGATATACATGACACTGGAGTCGACCTGCGGTACAATGTACTTTATCGCCAGAATCGCAATTGACCCGGCCACACCGCCGGCCAGCAGCGCTATGCCGATAAACAAGGTCAGCTTCGCCTTCCCTGCCAATCCGCTGCTGCCGTACCCGAACCCGTCGTCGCGCAATAACGCCAGGTCGATTGAATTCGTTATTAGCATGCCCAAGGTGCACAGAATGCCCGGAATCCAGTCCTCGAACCCAAACGACACGGGGAAGTCGGTCGTCGTCCGTGCTGTCACCAGGCCGTCGATGAAGAACCACCAGCCGAAGGTAAACTAGTATGAAAGCTTTAGTTCATGTGAATACAGGCGGCCTTTGGTTTTCCTTTTTCTCGTTCTCGCTTACCAGTGCGCCAGAGGCGTAGGTGCCGAAATCACGCAGGTGCTCTCGCCATGCACTCGGAATGCGCGGCAGGGGAATGTTCCAAACAAAGAGTCTCGCCATTTCAAGGTGGAATAGTATAAAAGTGAAAATAAACAGAAATTACGCAACAAAAAGAAGAGGAAAACGTCACGCCTGGGGATCCTAAAAAAACGTGTCCAGCTTTTTACCGTCTTGGCGTAATCACACAATCGCAGCTTTCTTCCTCCTCTCTTCCTTTCTCTCCAATTTCCTATTTTTTCTTTTTTTTTTTTTCGTAGAAAAATGACCACTGTACGCGAGCTCTACGGCGGCGCAATGACCATGCAGGTGCCATCGGGCATGGTCGACATAAGCGAGTTCCGGCAGGTGCCGGACAACCAAGAGGTGTTCTGCGACACCTCGACAGACCGCAGCCTGATCATCGAGATTCTGGAGGCCGTGCCGCAGCCTGGCATGCAGGCCATCGAGTACCATTTCGCGCAGCTGGCCAATGCCAACGACGCGGCCGAGAGCGAAATCGTCGAAACCACAGAAACAAACGGCATGTTTGCATTGGCGGGCCGACAGCAAGCAGGGAAATTCAACCAGCAGGGGACGCAGTGCGTGGCTGTGCTGCTGGCGCTTCAGCGCATTCCCGAAAACGACGCCGACGTTCTGATAACCATGAACGTGCCGGGGCTGGCCGACGTATCGGCAGCGTATGCAGAGTTCCGGCAGCTGGCCAGTACGTTCCGGCTGGTTGACGCAAGCATCTTTGGGTAGATTTTTATTCATCAATTAGCATCTTGTGCGCTACGCGCTCAGCCGCCTCCCTGGTCAGCTCGATATTGCCGGTGCCCGATCGGCGCGCCAGCTCCAGCGACTTGTCGTACAGCTTCTTGGCCTCGGCCAGGTCGCCCTGCAGCTCGGCCATGCCGCCCAGAAGCCTGACCACATGCGTCTCGCAGTTCAGGCATGCGCGCACATCCCGCTGCTTGCGCACCACGCTGAGCGCCGAATTCGCCCACGCCCGCTTCTCCTCGGCCCGCGCGCTGATCTGCGCCAAATTATACATCAGCACGGCGTCCAGGCACGCCCACGGGCCGTCGCCCGCCCTTTTCTGCACATCCACCAGCGCGCTCTCAAACAGCGCCCTGGCGCTATCCACATCGCCATGCAGCGCAAAGGCCTCGCCCAAAGACGTGACCAGGTTGGCCTGCCGCAAAAGCATCGCATCCTCGTCATTTTCCTCCTGGCGCTTGGCCGCCTGCAGCGCCGCGCCGAAAACACGCACTGCCTCGGCCGCCCGACCCTGGCCGGTCAGCAGCGGGCCCAGCTGGTCCGCAATCTGCCCGATCTGCCTGTCCCGCCACTGCTCCGGATACTGCACCGTCACTGCGCCAACAACAACCGGCGCACAGATCGCCCGGCCCTGCCCGTCGACGACCATGGCCCACGCTCGCTTCAGCAGCTGCTCGGCCGCTGCCGTCTCGCCTGCCGCGCGCGCCGCACTGGCCAATCGCACCACCAGCTCCTGCACTTCCGGCGACTCCTCGGGCAATTTGCCGTCCTGCTGGATCTGCTCCAGGGCTCGCAAAAGGAACAGGTAGGCGATCGGCGCGTTGGGCGCCAGGTGCTCGCGTAGGGCTGCCCCGCGCAGCAGCTTGCGTGTCGCCGGGTTGGTGATCAGCGGGGAGGCCGGCCAGTTCGTGTCCAGGTGGTGGTTGATGTACAGGTAGAACCCCGCTGAGCCCAGTGCTACAAGCCCGGCGATCCCGCTGACTATCTTGATGCCCGTCATCAATGGCTGCAGTCGCCCACGCACGCTGTTGTCCATGTTGAATGTCGAGATGCGCCGCTGAGCAAGCAGCCGAGCGTGCGGCCGGAGACGCGCTGTCAGTCGGAACATTTGTGGACGGAAAGAGGCGATTATGAAAAATAAATTTGAAACAACAAAAAATAAGGAAAAAGGGAGAGGATGCGAAAATGAAAAAGAGAAAAAGATAGGGAAAGTGATTTGCTTGAAAGGTCCGGTTGGGTTTTTTGTCTTAGCGCATGAAGCTCTTCTTGAGCAGATCCAGCAGGCGCGGGACGCTCAGATGCACATACTCGAGATCCAGCACGGCGATGTTGGCATGCTGGCGCTCCAGCAGATCGTCAAGATTCAGGTCCATGTGGATGATGGGTTTCTCGCGGCCCTTGAGCAGCAGCTCGATAACATAAGCGGCGGGCTGCGGACTGGACAAGGCAAATACCATCGCGTGACGGCGGTTCTCGGGGATCTTCGAGTCGCACACGACGCCGTCGCGCTCCAGCTGCGCCAGCGCAAATCTGATCGGCGCCACAACCTTGGAGCGCTCCGGCGCCCGTCTCTGCCTACTGCTCTGCGCCGGGGTCGCCACCGTCACGCCCACCGGCATGCCGTTCTTGCGCTGGCTCTTGGGCGCCGCTGTCTGCAGCCGCACATTCGCCAAATACGCCTTGTACGTCTCCAGCTGCTGCTGCAGATATCCGTTGTAGTCGCCGATCGTCATTAGCACGTCCTGCAGCCCGACAATCTCCGCCTCCACCTTGTCGCGCAGACTGCCAAGGTGCGCCAGCTCCCGCACAATCTCCTCTGCCAGATACCGGTGCCCGTCTGCCTGCAGCGCGCCCGTCGCCGACAGTTCCCCCAGCATCTCGCGCACCTTGATCCCCTTGCGCACCAGCGCCGCATCGCGCGATGTCGCCGCCTGCTCCGCCACAAACAAAAGGTCCGCCCTGGCTGCTGTGTTGCTCTCGGGCGTATACCGCCGCGCCTGCAGCGCCGGCATGCTGCGGATTATCTGCACCAGAATAGACTTGGCTTCCACATACATGATGTCGTGCTGAGTCAGCGCATTGTCCGCTGCCAGCGCCGACAGGTCTGACAGAATCGGCGTCTCCCACCGGCTGAACAGCCGCAGCTCCAGGCTGGCGTTGGCACTGCGCGGTACCAGCGCCGGGGCACTGCCCAATGCGTCCAGCAGCTGCCGCAGGTGCGCGCCGCCCGAGGGCGCCAGCACGTGCTGGTGCTGTCGCAGCAGTGCGTGCGTGTTGTACAGCTCGTTGAGCGTCACGTGCAGTGTGATGTCATGCTTGGTCAGCGCCACATACTGGTCCATTTCCATGCTGTCGTAAAAGTCGCCGACCTCGCACAGCTCGTTCAGGAACCCGTTGATCCGCGCCCGGTTGCTCTCCACAAACGGCGTCAGCCCCGCCATGTACTGCTCCTTGGCGTATGTCGGCTTGTTCGCCAGGCTCTGCAGAACCTTGGCCACCAGCGTCAGCGCCCGCCGTGGATGTGCTGTAGGCGCCGTCTCGATCAGCATGTATGCCTGCGGCGTCACTATCGCCGGGTTGATGAACCGCAAGAAGAAGAACCCGCCGATCAGCGAGCACACCGCCGAGTCCGTCGCCTCCGGGTACCGCCGCCGTGTCAGCGACCGGATCTGCTTGCAGATCCACCGGATTCCATACGGCGTCGCGTCCTTGTTCCCGATGATCGTGTCCAGGAACCGCCCCGCAATCTGAGTCAGCTCCGCAATCCGCGGCCGCAGCGCCTCCACCACCTTCGGGTGCTGCCCTGCCTCCTCTGTCGACACGCCCGGCGGGAACTCGTCCGTCGCCAGCCCCCGGTCCTCCAGCCCCTGCCGGATCTCCTCGTATATCTTCAGTGGGTTGATCTCCAGGTTCTGCTCTGCGTCCTCAATCACCCGGTTGATCTCGCTGCTGATTACGTTTTTCAGGTACGCCTGCCCGGGCCCACGCCGAGTATACGTCGTCATCATTCGCGACACCGGCGTGTTTTGCCGCAAAAGATTCGCAAACTCCGTCGTCGTCTCGAACTGCGCCGCAAGCACCAGCTGGAACATCGTCAGCAGCAGGTGCTCTTCGCGCGACTCGTACTGGTTGCCGTACAATGTAAACATCACTGTCTGCAAGAGTGTGTCGATCTCGCTCAGCGTCACCAGCCGCGCCAGCGTTGCTATGTGCCGTGGCTCCGTCTGCAGCAGGAAAAACAGATTGCCGTACAGCTGTGACTGCTCGCTGCTTGGGTAGTAGTCGCTGTTGCCCTGCCCCACATCCTCCAGGTGCGACGACAGCTCCTATCCATTATTTCGTAGCATTGTGGCGTTAGTGTGGCTAGCCCATGGTTTTTTGCTATTATCTCCGATGCCTTGGCTTCCTCCCCTTCCGCCACTGTCTGCTTTTGGTAATCGCTCCCCAATTCTTACCTTGACCTCATCCACCGCCATACGGTTCTGAATCAGCAATGCGATCCTGCTGTCGAGGTACCGCACATCGCGCTCAAGAAGGAAGTTCTTTTTCGATTGTGCCGACACCTGCCCTTTGAGCTCGCGCAGCCGACGCTGTGCTATTTTGCATTAGAAAAACACCCCATTGCACGCAGGTATTTTTAGTGCCAAATTCTCTCTCATGAACGCCTGTGCGCTAACGACAACAACAAAACAGTAGCTTTTTTCTTGGCTCGGAACAGGCGGGGGAGGGAGAAACTTGCGTGTCGATCCAACAAACCCCGGTACCAATAAGCGCAAAAACATAATGCACGGAATTGCATCAGCTCTTTGGTTGACGCTGCATCGGCTGGCAGCCCACGCTGGTTGACAGCAAGCGATTTGCTAAGTCTACACCTGCCCCCCTTGTACATCTCTGCTCGAATAATGGCAGACAAGAGAAAGAAAAAAAACCAAAACAAAAAAACCAAAACACCTTTTAAAAATTCCCCCTCCCTCTAAAAGCTTCTGCTCTGATGACATAGTGATAGTTCGTCCCCCCAAAGTTCAATTGTCAAAGAAAACAACCAGACAAGCAAAGAATGCGAAGCGATGGGCTTTTCCAAACGCTAATGCAATCTGTATTGCGCAAGCTGGTAGACAGCTTGCCTTTTTGTCCATACCTTCTGACAGTTCATCCGAGACCTCCACGTCGTGCTCGGCAACCATCGAGTAGAGCGCCGTGACTGAGTACCGCTTGCTGGTCCGGTCGCCGTCCGCCTGCCCGCTAATGCTGCTGTGCGTGCTGGGTAGCGCCGTGCTCTTGCGGTTCTGTCGCCTATTCACTGACCCCACCGACCCCACCGACCCGCCTTCGCTGGGCCGTCTGCTGTCGCGCACAACCGAATCCATCATTGAATTGCGTTCTTTTAAGGAGAGAAAATAGGTCGTAAAGAGGGTTGTCGTTAGAAAGGAAGAGAAATAGAGTGGGACGATTCGAGAGAAAAATATGCTATTAAAATAAGGAAGAAAAGGGGGAGGGAAAGAGAACGCCAAACAACAAAAAAGGGCTATAAAAAGAAACTACACCTATGCTCTTGATCGCTCACTTCTTTTTTGTTTTTTGCTCCCTCTTTTGTACAAAAACGCAACGGTACCTGCAGCCAATCTCACATTTGCGAACGAGCACCAAGTCTGAATATTTTGAAGTGCTGTTCCAAAATAACGGAAACATCACAACACAGCTGCACTTGACGACAGCGACGAAAAACATTCCCCAAAAAGCAAGCCATCCAGGACACAGCCAGATACATCGTGCCCATTCCCCGCCATGTCGAGGCGATGTGGGATATGTCACATACCTCCATCATTTAGCATGCCATGTGACCAGATCTTCCCCAGTATATTGTCTCCACACGCAGAAAAAAACTCCAGCTGGCCTCCCGTCTCTAGAAGTTCGCCAGCTGCTCCGAATAAATGCGCTCACTCTGATCATTAAACATGCAAAAGACAACGCGCTCAATCGCCCCGCCATTCTCCCTCAGCCACTCCTCGACCGCACCCAACACCACCCTGCATGCAGCCTCGGCGGGGTACCCAAACACGCCGGTTGAAATGCACGGGAATGCAATCGTCCTTACGCCATTCTTCTTGGCCACATCCAGCGAGCCCCTGTACGCGCTCCGGAGCAGCTCCGGATGCTCGCCCACCGGGCCAACCGTATGGATCACGTACGTGGCCGGCAGATCATAGCCCTTTGTGATTTTGGCTGCGCCGGTTGCGCACCCGTTCAGTGTGCGACATTCGGCCAGCAGCCGCGGCCCGGCCGCCCGGTGGATCGCCCCGTCGACTCCTCCGCCGCCCAGCAACGCATTGTCGGCTGCGTTTACGATTGCATCCACAGAGAGCCGTGTGATGTCGCCGCGGAAGAGGCTCACTAGGGAGAGGAACGACCCGGCCGCAGCTGTCCGTCCGAGCTTGGCCGCCACAGTTGGAATCGACGATACAGAAATGCTCATAGTTTTTACTAGAGTGCTAATGAGAGTGTTCTTGTTGAGTGGAAAAAAGGAACACCTCTCCGCCTAGACCCACACTAACCTTCCCCTTTATAGGAAAAGTACAGGCTTCTTCCCCTACTCCGAACGACCAATTGTTGCGTGGGTGAGGATGTAGTGCATTTAAAATCGGAAACAAACTCTATCTCAGGCATGGATAACGGGATGAATAAAAGAGACATGGAGCCAGGACAAGAGTACACATAGGATAGAAGCAACTACATCTCTGCTGCCGGTCATAATGATCATATGGCTTTAGTAGATCTACCACCATTAGTTGATAATGCCGTTCCTGTATTCTTGCTCTCCTCTTTGAAGACGTACCTTGGTACACATAAATCTCTTTCTTGACCTCCCACCTTGCGACAGGTACAGTACTATAACCGGCAGTGTGACTTCTATTTGCCTCTGTTTTCAACTGTGCATCAAAATCCATGACAACACGCATATGTAATTGGCCGGTTCCGCCATTCGTCACGTTGGAATCTGGTGTTAGTGTTGCGCCCCGGTTCAGCAGAACGTCGATAGTTATATTGGCGCTGTCACTCAACTAACACTAATGCACTAGGTGTGGTTTTTAGAAATGATATTTAAGATATTATATAGGAAATTTTTTGGGTCAGCAAGTATGCACTAGGT